AAAATCAGTTTACAAGTACTTTGTTGTATTGAATTTTCTACTGTAGTATAGATGTTCTCTCATCTGAACGTGTTTACTTTAATAACAATACCTATTGTTACTTTTTAGGAATGTATTACGACGGAAACAAACGCGATATGGAATATATGATAATTAACGAGGATGGATCATCTGTGAGAACTTTTCACAATTACACTAGTTGTCATAATATTAGTTATCCAAAACCTATAAACATGATGGTCCGATCATTAAACCACACGGCTAAGTTCAAGGTACTCATTGATTTGCGATTCTTTTCAAACTTACTACATCCCACATTCCCAAAGTATTTTATTCTTTATTCGTAGGTTTCTGGACTATCGCTGAACGAACGACTATCCGATATAACGGGATTGCGATTGGTTTACGATACACTGTCGCGAATAAGTTGGGCCAATCAGGTGCCTTTGCCATGGCTGAATTTGAATGTCAAACAATTGTTCTACCTTGCATTTGCTCAGGTATCCATTTAAGATAAGATTGTCGTTAAGCATGTGCGTGATTTTTTGGTAAATATTTTTTCCAATTCTCTTTTCTTTTTTACGCTCCACTCATCAGACACATTGTACAAAACTGCCGTTGACGTCCTTCTACAGTCCGGACTATCACATACCAAGCCGCATGCGAATTTTCGTATCGGCCTCGAGAGAACCACTTCTTGGCAATGCTTGGTCCTGTATGCCCGACACGAACGTTGTTCCAGCAGATACTTGTCCAGTTTTTCCAAAGTTACTTAGTGGATGACGCAAACTCCGAGGTACGTATGGAGTGACGTGCATAACTTATTAATTACTGAACATTACATATGATCTAATAAAAAGAGTGGACGCGAAAGATCATTTGATAACGATACTCTAGATTTATTTTAAGCCAACAAGATTTGCGGAGAAAACGTTGAGGCACATTTCCTCCACGTCACGCGAAAGGAACACAAGAAGATGGACCTCGCATTCCTTAACATAATAATAATTATCCGCGAACTTGCCAACTTTTACCCGTATGTTATCGTACGACTAGAAAGTTTCAGTTCAACAGTTCAGCGACTTAATAATATATCATTTGATATATTACTGTTTGTGTTGTCATATCCGCTTGTTTTCTGAGGACACCAGAGCTTCCTTATAGCGAGCCACGTTCTCTGAAATTGAATTAACATCTTGATTTACCTACTTGTAAAATTAAATAGAAGCAAAGGTCTTAAGACCAATGAGGAACTGAGTCATAATTGGAAAATCTTATTAGAAGTCAAAACATGTGTTTGTAATACACAGGGTGTTCACGTATATATTACACAGCGATGTTTTTCAAACTGTTGCAAAATATGAAAAAATTATTAAATAAAGGAAAGAGATACATAGTTTCAATCAAGGAAAATGATCTTTGAAATTATTTGTTTTCTTTTAAATTTTATGAGATATAGTACATTTATTTTTTTCAATTGGACATCATTATTGAATTTGCAAATCCGATAAGACATAAGAAAATATGGGCAAGAAAGTATTAGAATACGTGTGATTTATATCTAGCAACTTCCCAATTATGACTATTAGGAAGGACATTATTATAATTAGAAAAGAAAAGCGAAGGAGGAAAACTAAAAATCACGAATATTTAATAATTATTCTACGCAGAAACATTTTATAAGATCTGTTCGAAATTTTGGCCATTATTTCGACTACAAATTGCTGACCGAATCACTATGTTCATGATTATTATCAATTTATATCAATCATTGACTACTGTCTTAACTAAAACTGATAACTCATGATGATTCTGAACTATTACACTCATTCTGCGTAATATTGGTTCTAATAGACTAAATGTGAATGTACCTGGTAGTACTCTGCATACATCTGTCAAGCTTGCTTTTCATTTTACTTATTTCACTTATAACAAAACCAGACTGATACCATACCCATGGTCCTGATAACTATATAAGTTCTATGTTGCGAGATTATCACTTTGAAAGGAATTTGAAATAATAAACTGATCTTTGTTACATCATTCAAAAATATATTGACTTTTGCTACACATCACTTGCAAAATAATGTCCAGAATTTCGTTTGATATAAAAAAAAAATAGTTACGTATGTATTTAAAAAATGTTGAAATAATAATAATACTTTGAAAACTTGGGTATTGCTTACATGTATCTTAACATTCTCGTGCCCATAATTTTATCTCTTAATGGAATCCGGAATAAAAAATAATATATTTTGTTTAAAATAAACATGACCTTGGCATCTTATAAGATTTCCAAGGCGGAAAACCATTTCAAGTATTATAATCGTTAACTGAAACTATAGAATTTTTTCATTCATCATGTCTTCATATTTCGTCGAAGTTTCGAAAAAATTGTTGTGTATGATTCGACACACACCGTACACAAAATGAGTGTATTGTCCACAGGTTTCTTCATATGTGGTAAGTCATATTCAAGCAATAAAAAGGTTTCAAGACACACGTGGCAATGTGAATAATCAGAATATTTTCCGTAAAAAAAAAGAACTAAAAAGGATGATTTTACTTACATTGTTCAGTAATAACTAAGGAAAAGGTAATTAGGCCCAGTTCAACGTTGGTTCAAGTCCAAGCATTAATAGGCTCCTAATGATAATTTGTTGATTACATAAACATACCGTTGCTGCTACTGGAATCGGCAGAACTGGCATCCTGTTGGCCAATCGTGTTTTGATTTCCCATCTGAAATGAAAAACGCCATGCGCAACGCACAAAACAAACGCAAATCAAATTATGCACCAGTTAGTTACAAAAAAAGGAAAATAATCGCGTTCGAAAGCATAAGGGATCTTGTGATCATACCTGGAAGTACTGATGCCATAAAACGCAACCGTAAACGCAGAGAACTGAGACTAGAGTCTGGCAGAGAAGCCAGGCAAGAATGTTGAGTGCTTGAGTGCGTTCAAAAAGAGTGGCGCCGTGTTTTATACATAATAATGCTTCGGTAACCATAATCGCACCATAAACCCAGCATTGAGTTCCCACCCTATTACACGCTGGGTCTGTTACGTACATGTAATATTGCCTGTAATTAATAATCATTTAGATTACTTATATAAATAATAAAGTGAGAGATGAGCTACATGGAATATTTAAAACCTGAACACATTTATGCCACTATTGTTAATACAACTTACCTAACTGATGGAGCAACAATCACTCCAATGAGTACCAAGCGTGAAATAACAAATGGATGAGATGGTGGAAACTCGTAGACATGTTTTAGGAAGAAAGTATTCAGTTCGGAGACCTGCCAGAATATCACCAACTGACAGAGTGCAACGAATCGCATGTGAGTACAGGTGGGGTCCAACCATCTGACAGAGGTCCAACTACCTGGTGTGAATTGCAGCACTGCTCTTTTCAGTTTTCCAGTTGTGCTCTCAATGTCACGAATACTGACCCATTTGTACTCTCGCATTTCCAAGCAGGAGCAAATCTTTAAACCAACCCAAATGCCTAGACCATTGCATACAAGGACATCCAATATCAGAGCATCCCACCAGCACTCGATAAAGTTTGGTAATAAATGGGCAAATGCAATTTCTGTTACTTCCCACATAATGCTTATGGCCCAAAGTATACCAAAATGACGAATAAGAACTGCCTTAAATGCCCATCCAAGAAAATGTGCCAATGCAAACACATCTATGTGATTCCAAATTTTTTCCAAAGTTACATCAGAACAGTTTACTCCATATTCCTTGTCCATATCAATGTGAAATGATGCCAATCCTGGGTCAATCCATATTAGAATTTTTTTCACAGTCTCATAGTTCTGGAATAGTATGAATAGCAATCCCATGAGGTAAAGTACACTGCAACCAAATACGATCCTCCAGACAACTGGATGAGGTCTTGTAAATGGTCCATTTGGAAATGTTAAGACTGATATTATTAGAAAGAAGAACACAACACACAACACTCCTGCCCATAAGTTGTCCTCCACATTAGTAACATCCCTGTATAGAATCAATGACAAAATTAATATTCATCGCTGTAAAACGTAAGATAGCGTAATTCAAAAAGAAATCAATAAAGTAAAATATCTGACATAAATTTACCTAACGAATGCGAAATAAATTACTGCTCCAATAGAGATTAGAAGAAGAGTGATAGTGTGTGGCTTATAAAAAAACTCGATGGAAATGTCGTCAACGGGTCTTTCATTGATGTTTAGAAAACTGTCGGTCCCGGGTCCCAATTTGAAGCCCTCGTTGTTGTCCTGGCTCTTCTTCAAAATACTGTCCTCTTTCTTCGTTATCCTATGTCGTAAGGTGCTACTGTTAGCCTGTTCGCTGCTCGTCATTCTCTTCGGGCCAGTCCTACTTTTCTCGAAATCACAGACCACTCATAGCAGACGCTGTGCTGCAGTGCCTTTGCATAATTCAATTAGGGCAGCAGAGGAAAAATTTAGTTTGCCCGAAAAGAAAGGTTAGAATCCCGAGACTCACAACACTCGTGCGCACTGATCGGCTAGCAGAAAAAAAAAACAGGAGAAGCCCCTCAACACTACGGTTTAATAATAACTAAACAAACTGTTTAACAAGATTTTTCACCTGACGCCTATGGCTGGTATAGCTGAAGGAATAAATATGGTAAAGTGGGGGAACGTATACAGCAATCTGATTGGCCATTTCAGCAGCGTAGCGAAAATACTAATTGAATTTGATTTGTACAAATCAGTGTTACGATAATGATGACCTCTGGTGGACTATACCTACACTAGACAACTTTTTTCTATTATAAACTAGAAACTAGTAAATGAATTCTAAATAGAATTTTTGCTGAAGTAATTTCATTTATTCGATCTCCAAGAATTAGAATAATATTGATATAATATCCAATAGGATAAGCCTCAGCTATGCGGTATAATGCAGAACTATCGTATTACAGTCACCTTTGGCTGATGTGAATACATCAGAACGAATATGTTGGAATCAGCAGTTTTCTTTGATTGATTATTTAATATAAAATGCACAGCAAAGGGTCATTTCTAAAACAAGAGAGATTATTAGATTTTGTAAGAGTATTAGATTCTATACTCTAGTTCTCTATGGAGCATAGTGACTAGTGTGAAATTGCCGAAACCAGTTATACGCAGTTCTCCATATTAGGATGAGATTTTTGTAGTTATGGACACATCATCCCACGTTCGAGAAAAGTACGTTACACGGGTTGCCATCACATGAATCATCCATACCGAACTTTTGTCTACAGTTCCGCAGCGTTGGAGAAGAACCGCTACGTGGTCGAGTTTATTTTTACTTTTGTCGGTTCTGGCCTCCTAAGAACAGAGACAATGAATATGTGCCATTACGTGGGGAAATACCCATAAAATCACATACGAGCTAGAATAAGTATTAGTTTTTAAAAACGCTTGCTTTTCAAAATTTCGCAAATTTCAAATAAAATCCTTCAACATCCAAACCATTTATAACTAAATTCTATTATTTAAACTGTATAATTTTTTCGAAACTAAAAAAAGATTCATGAATAACAATCATAATAAAAAAGCAGTTAATTTGGGCTAAATCGAAAGTGCACCAATGAATAATAACTAATTACGTAATTCCACTACCACACATGCCAAAATATTTCTTCAATAGAAATTATTTCAAATTCAAAGCAGCCAATCAGGACACAGCAGGGATTCTCAACCATATTATTAACGTAGGGCACGTGTGCAGGTGCATCGATTCTTTCATGCAGCTGCACTGACGGCATAGAAACGTATAGAGATACAGTATCCAAACGTACAAAAGAGAAATTAAACATTCTTAATTCATAATCTCACGCAGGGAATGTTGCCAGTGACGGATGGAATAAAGTTGAGGACAGAACTTTCCGACCTAACGAACACAGAAATTCAAATGAGCCAATCAGACGCCTCTGAGTAATTCTCAGAGCCAATGAAATTGCTCGAGAATATAGAAGTCCTGCGCCTGCAGTGTGTAAGTTCATACGTGTGAGCTCGAGAAACTGCAGGACACTAGTACAAGGCAATAAAAGGGGCCACGAACTCGGGCAACCGTTCAGACTACGGTGCATTATTGTCGAGTACGCGTATCCAAATAAGTTTTCGTCTCAAATAAAAGCTTGAGGGATAAGAAGTATATCATCGTTTATCCGGATCAACGAGAAGCAAGTAAGAATTTAAATTTCATTGGACTAGTCACCATCAAATAAATTTTTACAGTCCTGTTGAAGAGGACGCCGTTTCTGAGACAAAGAACTCTACGACATTTTCTCACATTAACTCTTATTTCTGATAGGACAAAAAAAGAATTTCTTTATAAATATAGATTAAAATAGTTAAAACATGATTTTTCTACCATTTGGAGAAAAGTTTTGTACGTGATTCCGCATTTGCGGCACGACAGCCGCAAACAATGCTTCCAGCGATCATGCGTAGTAAAGCCTAGCATATATACTTTGTTGTGCATTTATTGCATATGGACAGATTTTCTTATTTAACTTAATTTGTCTCGTACTATTGTTTCTCAGCACCTTTAAGATTTGCATTTAAGAGAAAGATTATCTTGACGTGGATTGATCGTCACTTTTGATCGATAACTACACTTCAAGATTATCGACTTTGTTGTTTAACCACATTAGGTGTGATTGCATGATGATTTGTATATCGTCAGACAAAATATGTTGGAGTCATTGACATTCGACATGACGGCGAGCATTGAGAGTGCAAAGAAAACCGGTTGTTTCTTTGTTGTCAGGCTGAAACTTTAGCCATGTACATCAGCTGTTCGTTTTCTTTCTCATGATTCTTTGTCGTCTTGTCACTCCGTCGCTCCCTTGCGTATTATCAAGCATATTTGTACGCAAATGTACGGTTTCTTCGTGCTATCACAATTTTAATGGGTGTACATTCGTGATAGTGATAGGTAGACTTTAATTGGGAATTATAAATAAAACTAGGCTTCTGAGAAGCATTGATACGTTCCCCATGTAAACTACTACTGCCATTTTAAATAGTTCCTTCAGACTTTATCTAGGTTTGTTTGACTAGTATATTTTCGTAGGTTATTTTACAGTCATGGTAATATCACGTAACAAAATATGGTTCTAGGGGTGTCCCCTGGTAAAGTAAGGATTACCCGTAGATAATGTTATTTAAACTTACATATTATTGACTGAAGGTAGAACCATTGAAATTTTTGAGTAAAAACAAATGGAGCAATTTTTATCATATCGATAATAAACGTATTAACGGTTTACAGATATAATCTCCACAACAATGGCTACTGCTGCTGAGGCACCCGTAAACAACGAATGTAAGTAAGAAAAAAAATGGAGTCGTGTATCAACGATTGCTAATGTTGACACATTGAAAGAATCAACCATGAAGGCATGCATTGTATACGATGCTAGGCAGCGTGTAGACGTGTACATTAAACTGAACCCAGGGACGGATTAATAGGGATCATCGGATACTGACTTTACGTTTAGGAAGATTTTAAATCACAGAATAGCCTATAAAGTTGCACATTCTAATAGATAGATAGATAGATTATAATAGATAGATAGTTCGGAGACCTTTCTGTTACTATGTACTATATTCACGAAGGGTTGCCAGGCTACTAGAAGAAAACTGAGCCTCGGAATTAAGAGAGTACACAACGAGCAAGAGAAAACGCTGTACGAGATGGTTCAAATGTCGATTAATTTTTGAAAATGTGTACATGCCTTTAAAGTCTTATAGGAGGGCAATGATCGGCTTGGGCGCACCTTTTGACTATAACAGCTTTTAATGCTTGAACGACTTGACAAATACGCGTGTATGAACTTATGGCCGCATAAGGAAACAGGCCTGGATAATTGGTCCGGATGAATTTTTCCGATTGTGAACACACCCCAAGGAAACCAATGAAGGAAGAGACGAAAGAAAGAACGTTTGCTGGTAGACGCTTGGTGAAAGAGGAGGTCAGAGCTCCCTATGGGGCGTCCTTACAGAGTGCAGTCTGCACTTTCGTGATGGCAACTGCAGTGTCCAGCCGTCTTTCAGTGGTGCTCAATTGAATCTACCATATTTCCTTACTGCTGCAACAGCAAGAGCAACCATGTGCCGCATCGAGTAACTCTACTACGAGTCCCGTTGCTGCAATGAAACTAGGCTATTAGCTAAGGGTTACTTGATCGAAGTTCAACCCTCTCAAAGCATGGACTACTTTCATAGTGGATAAAAGGTGACATCAAAAATTAATAGCTGTCGAAGAATCCTCGATCGATTCTCTTCGTACAGCCTTGAGAAACTTGTCGATAATTCTTTCTTTTCGTTTCATTTTCTTTCAAAGCTCAGGTCGTTCGACTGCATTCAAGCGGCACTCAGACACTCCTGTACTCGTACGTTTACGAAGCTGTTACTTTCTGTGTGATCTACGGTAGCGACATTGAAATTCATGGGATAACACGACAGAGTGACCATATACGTACACGAATCTTATACCAAATGCGCTCATAGTTAAGTCCTTTCTTTTCTGGAATATTATCTTGCGATAGACATTATTTTCATTATAATTAAATTATAAAGATTGTTGCGGATAATTAACTGCCAATCTGTAGCTACGACTTGAAGCTTACCTACGTATATATTAAAGCCTTATAGTCCGTTGAGTGCCTTTCAAATGTCTAAAAGCGGATGGCGTATCGAGGTCGAAGGTACGAATTATGGTAGTTGGCCTTTTTGAAATTTCCGCACGTGCGTTCGAGTCCATTGAGCATTTTTCAGAGACGATTCTCTTAGGTGGATCGTTTAGTATACGCAATATATATTTTCCATATAAAGAGTTTTCAATGTTTTCCCCACGTATAACGATCGATACTTCAGTATAATAAACTTCCATTATTCTATGTTCCGGTTAGCCTACATTTTGCATTGCTTATGTCACGTCGTGCTTTTTGTTTTAAACCAAGAATGAAGTCTTTGACGCGTGACACTGTACGATATTTTACTTTGTGACTGTACATAGGTACTTTGTATAAATCCTTTAAAGAAGTACGCCCCGTCATACGTGACACAAGAAGTTGCAGTTATTTTGCATCTGACAAAAAGTAGTACGAAATTACTTAAAGCCACTGTGTACAGATTAAAAGCGGATTTAAATTTCTACAAAACGCTACTTAATATCTTCTAGGAGTTTGGATGTTGGTGAAGATAAAAAAGAAATAGACTTTTTCATGATTCGTTAAGAGAAAAAAAAAAAGTTAGGGAATAAAACGGATATACAAAGTATTACACTGTTTTAGGATGTTTCCTGACTGTCCTCAAAAGTTTCCCCATCTTCTGGATCTCCGAACCTCTCGCAAGACCTTCCATCCTTCTTTGCGACTCGAAACTTTGGACTTCGTGCGAGAAATCTAAATTTCCTCAGCATTGACATAACCCGCTAACGCGAATTCCCGGCTGTGGAAGAAACCATTGGATTGTTACAACGGAATTAAAAAAAAAAATCACTCCGCAATTCCGCCTACACTCAAGACCTTAATTGTCTCGCTGCTCAGCAGAGCGAGGAACAAGGGATGCTGCGTGTTACACGGAGACTCTTTAGGGGGTTGCGACGAGTAATGAGATCCTGCGATTTGTATTCTCAAATCCCTCACACCTTTTCACCAAGGCGGTAGTTTTGGCTTCCCAGAAGATTTAAGAACACGCTGCCTACATTCTCAAGATTCGTGTCTCTATAAAGCGAGAGATATATATATATATATATATATATATATATATGCATATATATATATATATATATATATATATATTACATATCTATACTACAGAAGATCCGGCTTAACAGTCTACCGGCCGGCCGGTTCCTCGCTGGGCACGTGTGGACTTTCTTTCTCTTTTTTTCTTTCTTCCCAATATATATATATATATATATATGCATATATATATATATATATATATTGGGAAGAAAGAAAAAAAGAGAAAGAAAGTCCACACGTGCCCAGCGAGGAACCGGCCGGCCGGTAGACTGTTAAGCCGGATCTTCTGTAGTATAGATATGTAACATGGGCTAAAGCAGCCAGAGGGTGGCGTTTCGTCGTCGGATAGGCTGTTGTACGTAGTAGGCACCGTGGATAGGGTAGGAGGCAGAGGGTGGATATTGAGCGACGCCGGGCGTCATGGCGCAACGTTCGAATCAGTCGCCCTCCAGCCACCGCCCCAGATACGAGTAAAACATTTCCCTGGTCCTCCCTTTTTTCGCACGGCTACGTCGAATACGCTTTCCGGATTCCTTGAAGGAAACTTCGCAAGAAGATCATCGTCTTCGTTTCGCATACGATATCTTATCAGATTTTTTAAATTGGCTTATTAATTCATCAACCAAGATGCTCATCAGTCTTGTTCGCGATTCCGTGTTGCAGTGTTTCTGTCATAGCTGCAAAGCACCTATCGGTCTTGTCGGTAAGTCTGCTCTTCCTGGTCCCCTCCTGCCTTGATTTAACCTCTGACCTTTGGTTTGACCCTCTCACCAGTCGGGGAAGCTCAGTTCTTTATCCTTATCCTCTTATTGCCACGTACCCCGCATTTACTTCAATGTAACTTTGTACCTGTGGCTATTTGTATTTTTTCAAGAATTTATTTCACGTTTGGAATTTTTTTTTTTTTTTCATTAAGTACTTTTCCCTGTCGGCGGTTGACTCTAGCTCTGTTTCCGCGACACTTCAGTTGACTGGGGATTTAACTGTCGATTAAATATTGAACTCTACTTACCTTGGCTCTGCGGTAGGAATTCTCCATTTAACGTTTACACAGTTCTTTTTCATTTCTTCTCTCAATATTTTTCGTTTTGAAGTCTTTTAATTGTTTACCAGTCGAATATTAATCAATGGTAATTTTGATTATACCTGATTCTCAACGTATCCACACGGTTTATTTCTGATGCTTTTGAATATTAAAAAAAGATATACATCCCTGGATTAGCGTGATACATCAAATTTCATTATTGACTCGTGCCAATGAAATCGAAAGGTTTCCAACCGGGAAGTTTCAGCGCACACGCACTTTCCTCCATTATTTCCCTTTCTACTTCCGGTCGCCTGGCAACTGTGAAACTCGGAAATTTTTCGATCATCCGCTGATATCCAGATGAGAATGCGTGAAAAGAATAAAAAGAGAAAGACAGGGAGAGAGAGAGAGAGAGAGAGAGAGAGAGAGAGGGGGGGGGGAGAGAGAGAGAGGAAAAA